CTTACTAGTAATTCAGCAGCGGGCTAAGATTGATCACAGATAAACATCTTGCTAACTTTCTGTTGATTCCCTTAGGAAGGACCACAGAAATACTACAACATGACTACAGTAATAATATTGCTGTGAACTGAGGTTATTATATCTATTGAGATACCATCTTTTTTGAAATCATCCGACCTACAGTGCATCTTATCTACACATCAGCTTCACTTGATAAGTAACTTTTAGACACATATCCTTTTACCTAAATCATAATTTGTTTATTCTAAGTTAAATACTTCTCAGAGGGTACTTACTTAAATTATGAAAAACTTGAAAGTGACTTAGATGTTAGTGAAACTTTCACCTGCAATCTACAAGTTTCACATAGATCTACAGAAATAATTCTGACGCAAATGATGGATTGCTTAACTAACAGATTTTCCAGTCCATTGCACAACACTACTTCTACAGAAATAGTGTTTACATGCACTAAGAAGATAGCTGAAAGAAAGCATGCATGCTAAAAAGCAGATAGATCTTAGAAATTTTTCAGATAAAACATGTTTTGTGATATCACACCAAACAGAGCTTTTCAGAGCTCAGACAAGAGGTACTGAACTTTGGGATGGATGACATGGGCATGTGCAACACCAACAGACACTAGTGTTTTAAAAGATTCTGATCTCAAGTGCATGTGCACCTAAGAGTGGGGTCCACTCGTACGGAACATCTCTAAGACGCACAATTGAGTTTTTAAGCCAAAGAATTCACCCATGTTTTAACATTTGGTTAGAGTAACAGAAGAGTTTATAAAAAGAAAAGGAGCACTTGTGGCACCTTAGAGACTAACAAATTTATTAGAGCTCTAATAAATTTGTTAGTCTCTAAGATGCTACAAGTCCTCCTTTTCTTTTTATGGATACAGACTAACACAGCTGCTACTCTGAAAGAAGAGTTTATGGCAAACTAAGATTAGAGTTACATATTACCTACTGTTACAAATGGTGGTTTTCAAGAGAAGATATTTACAATCTTCAACTGTTAAACGAATATGAGAAGCTGATGATATTTCTAGTGTGAAAGGAAAAGGCCTAACTGGCAAATTAATAAAAACCTGAATTAAGCATCTACAGTTCCATATTGGCTCCAAAAAAATCAATTCCCAGAGTAGTATTGAATTAGAATAACTACCTGTGTAGTGAGATTTTGCTTTGTTACTTAACAGGATATTAAAATCATTCATTTCAACTTGGTAAACACTATCATAAAGATTACCAAAAACATAATATGGTGTTATATTTGTATTAAATGTACACATTTCTAAGAATTCTCAAGTTTGTACTTTAACTAAGCAAACCAAAATTCAACAAATTCATTAATGGTTAAGTAATTTTAATTTCCCAACCCTACTCACAAACTTATTACCCTGCATCCCTTATTTCACAGCTCTCTGAACTGCCATTTCCAATATACAAGTTCAATAACCATTTAAAAAAAAAAGGGGGGGGAGTATTCTGGACTTGCCAGAAAAGAATTGTGATTTTACATCCTTTAGTTCTTCCAGCATCAAGATGTATTCTGTCCACATATAGAATTAACCTCAGTAGCAATGACAGGACACTATAATGAACTAATACAACTGTGTCAAACTTCCCAATTTACATTTCTGGATGGGAAGTACTCAAACTTTAGGTTCCTGGCACATGATTAGGCTGGTGAAACTAGTATGGTTTAAAAGGCGTTTGTTGATTAGATAAAAGGTAACCTTTGTGTTTTCCTTGTGGCTGCTCTAGTTAGGTTACTCACATAATCGTCTCTCAAGAGTGAGTTGCCAGAAGAGCTACTACTTTTTAAATCTTCTTGGATGTACACCTTTCAACCATGTTCAACACAGAGTTCACAGCATTACTATTTTCTCATAACATTGCCACCCCATAAGCTGCTTTTAAAAATAAATCTAATTCTAACAGAGTTGATCTGTTGTTTGTCACAAACGCATTCTTCGAAGCTGAATTACTTTTTCCATGGGGGGAAAAAAAACCCAACCCAATGACATTTTACCGTTTACTGCAAAGCTTTGGTCCTTCTGTCTTAAAAGAAGATTGTCAAGTAATTTAAACCCAAACCTGATTCACCTTAAAATAAATAAATAAATAAATAAATAAAAGTTACTAACATATTTCTCCCACTCAGTTGTCAAGATTAAGTTACACCTTCCCACTACCCTCAATTAGAAGAAACCACTATTTTTGTAGGACCCATGTAAGAACATTGTGCTTTTGCTAACTTGGCAGAAGCAGCTGAACTGTTCTAAAAACTGTTGACACCAGATACACAAAAACACAACATTCATATGTTGGGATGTAAATACTAAGTGAAAATTAGAAGCAAGTTTGCCTCTGTTCCATTAGATGAAAGGTGTGGAGAACATTTACCATGTATGCAGAAGATCTATTCAGATGCTGGGAAGGAAACCATTTTTTCCAAGCTTAATGGCTATTACAAACAACGAAGAAAAAGAGCAGGTAGTACCCCTTGACCAGTTAAGAAGAAACGTACTATACAAACACCAGCTGAAAAACTGAAGTGCTCATATTCCACATATTCTGAGATCATTTGGCAATAAAAGCCACTTTGAACTTTGGCTATATTTGCATAAACATTCATGCAGCTCAAAATGGTGGCCTAGTTAAATCTTGTGGCATGTGTCCCTTGAACCTGGAGATTTAAAATATATTTCAGCCAGTTGAATGGAATTCTGATTGTTCAAGTGCAAAGCTCCTTTTGTGGCAGGCCATCGTAGGTGGAAGATGATCAGTCATGGACAGACAAATTACTCCATTGTAACTCATAGAATTCTATTGTGTCCTGCAATCAAACTGGAAATATACACAACCAAAGATTTATTCCCCAGCTATATGTAACTGATGACTCGACTTGGGTAAATATTTATCACATACTTTCAGTTATGGCAAAGTTAGAGATGAGCATACCTCAAAAAGTTCTTTTTGGCACCTACCAGTCTAGATTCTTGTTAGTATATGGGGGGAAAAGGTGAGCTGAATTTAAGAAAAGGCTCATGTTAATTTTTTCAATATTTTCCACTTCTAATTTAACTGGAAATGTTACAAGGTCAGTTTAGCAGTAGTTGGCTGCTTCGGTTACAACAAGCAGTGCTTAAACATGGGGGAGGAAAGAACTGAACATCCTAAGGTCTGTAAATGATTTTGTTGAAATGTTTTGGGTGGGATCTTTTATCCACACTAATTTGCCCACCTGTAACCCAAATATCAATTTTATATATTTACAATTTATTCACAGCATAATTGTGAACATGTGATTCCGCATATAAAAATCTGCTTAAAGATAAGCAGTCACAAACCAACAAAAACTAAGTTTTAAAAATTTTTCATTACGAAATTTATTTTGAACTCAGGGAATAAGTGTTGCAGGTTTCCATTTGTCTATTATCATACCCATGTCACTATCAAGTAAATTGCATTAGCTTCTTCCCCCGCACACACCTTTATTTGTAGGTTAAGAAAATTAACAGCAAGAACATTCTGCGCAGTGCATTCTCGAACACTACTCCATTTCCTGGGGTGCTCAAAGCCATTTTAGCTTCAGCTGAATGTCTCATACCAACACCCAAAGCACAAAATAATTACACAAGAATACAATAGCTATTGCATCTTACTGCTGAAGTTAGATTTATCATCCTCTTCTAAGAATTATTTTGGTAGTAGAATTCTCCAGCCTGCCTCTTAAAGAAAGACTTATTGTCACACTGTTCACCATGTTTGTTTTATGGAATCTTGTTTTGTGACATGAGAGAAGAATGAGTATGACAGGCAATTACCAGCAGGAATTGAACAACGGACAATTACATGTTCCACTCAAAAATGAGTAAATATCGTTGGCTTGCCCTCTCCCCTTAAAATCTTAGTGGAAACATTGGATATATTTAAGAAATCTATGAAAGATTCTCAAACATCTTTTAAATACCCCTTTACTTCAACGAAGAACAAAAAGGCCTCCACTATTCAGCTTTTCTTGTATATGCAATGGGGAGGCAGGGGAGAGGGAAGGAAGAGAAAAAAAAAAAGGGAAAAACTACCTCTTTGGTAGCCATATTTAAGAAGTTTAAAAGGCTTTGATCTGAGAGTAAATACAGAGTTTACATAACTGATCACAAACAGTGGAAAACAGCCATTATAGGCTATTATTAATCTTGTATATTAGGTCAAGTGACAGTACATTATGAATAAACTTACATTTTATATAGAACAGAAGAGAGTATACAAACACTAATTATTATTAGTTACTAACATGGCTATTTAATTCTTTCTAGTAAGCCACTATCAGAAGGGATGCATTTTTATTAGACAAGTGACCTGAACATTTTAAATTGATCTAAGGGGTAAATTAAGTTATGACTGAAAAATAAACCAGGTATACTTTTCCATTTCTAAAAACACCGCTAAATTTTGATTAAAAAACAAAACAAAAAATTATCCTAGATACTGTTTTCAGCCCAAAGTGAATGTTTGCCAGTTTACAAATCCTTGAAAAAGGGGATTTATAATGCAAGTGCTGATATAACTTAAAGCTATAGCTATGCTAAAAGGACAATTACCCTGTAAGGTGATCAAGTTCAGAGGTTTAAAAATTGCGACAATGAGAGAAAGTTAGAAACGCTAAACACCTACACATTTAGCTAATATTAGCTTTTAAGTAGCATTGGCCTAAACTCCAGTATTTTAAATGAGTATTGCATTAAAAGATAAAGTTCTGCCATACCTAAAGGATAAGGCATAGCCATCTACCAATTGGCATATTTATTTATTTGTCTGTTTGTGAAAAGGGCCTTATTTGTGTAATCAGCAAAACAAATTTAAACTTGAATGATTGCTATGCAACAGATTTGAAGATAATTGCCTCTGCAGTGAACTTTACAGTTCTCAACCGCACACACGCAGCATGCTATATGAAAAAAGTTACTAACTGAACTACAGGTATTAAATACTGAAAAAAGTTTTACATTTTTATTATAATTTATTTTATTTAACAATCTAAGAAGTTTGCAGCCATCAGCAGTTCCAGTGCAATTTCAGGTGCAATTGGGAATTCAGGAATCTCCGTGGAGCTGTTAGTGTAGCGAACCTTGTAGGTGAAATACATGCATACTTTGGATAGGACGTGGGATGGAATCTCTCTAAAATTCACCTCATTTGTTTCATTTTCAGCAAACTGACCTGTTTAAAAAAAGGAAGAAAGAATCAGCATCAAAGTTCCCTTGATAATGAATACATTTGTATTGCATGTGTGCAAATTCATCTAGAATACTTTGTCAGTGTAGTCTCTTGTTAGGAATTAGACATTTTCAGTGTACAAGCTGTATAACATAGTGTGTTAAGACATGCCACAATTACTGGAGCCAAGGACAACTTCCATCACCTTTCTTTAAAAATATTCTGTTCGTTTTGGTTAATCTGACTGCCTACAAGCAATATGTGGAGCAAAGATTTGATCCTGATCTCAGTCTGTGCTAGGAGTGCTCTCTGAGAGTTCCATACTCAGCCCTGTGAGACCCACACTGATGTAAACACCTACAAGAAACAAGGTCTATCGATGATGACCACGTGGCCTGGCTGCTAGGGAGCGCGATTTAGTTTGTTTAAATAAACCTTTCAGATGATTTGAAAACATCCGGTTGTACAACAGGGGCACCACATAACCTAAGTTTGTTACCATTACACTTCCTTCCTTTGTACAGTTTGTCATTTGCTTGTTGTGTCTTGTCTTTAATTATATTGTATGCTCGTTAAGGCAAGAACCATGTCTACCCTTTGGGTGTTTGCACAGCACCTACCACAATAGGGCTCCTGTTATCCCTGCAGAGCCAATACAGCTTCTGAGAGCGAAACAGCTTCTATTCCCATCTTGAGAATCATCAGCAGAATTTATTACTAATTTCCAATCAATTACATCTAGGCAAGACTACTGAAGACAATCCAGCCCAAATTTAATGGGAAGGCAATGCAGATTTTAAAACGCACTTCATAAAGCCATGCAACTTAAATAGGGAACATCCACATCAAATAAATATTCAAGTATCATTGAAATCAAGATCCATTAAATGTTTTCACGTTTCATAATCTTCTATTAGGTCTGAAGAGTTTTTTGTGTGTGGCTGGAGGAGCAGTTATTTACCTTGCTGTAATTGTGCATCTTAGAGATGTTCCGTACACGTGGACCCCACTCTTAGGTGCACATGCACTTGAGACCAGAATCTTTTAAAACACGAGTGTCTGTTGGTGTTGCACATGCACCTTGTATGCTCCCATGTCATCCATCCCAAAGGCATAAAAGGCAGAGCATCCCCAAATGCTATTCCTGTCTCCTTCATCAAGATTCTGGGCTGTAAAACTCAAGCTACAGGCAGAGGGTCCACATAGGATCCACATGTACAGAACATCTCAAAAGAACTAGTTATTATAAGGCAGAGGTCCCCAAACTGTGGGGCATGCCCTCCTAGGGGGGCACGGAGGAACATATGGGGGGGCACAGGGAGGGAGCGCCACCCAGCACTGTTTCTGGCCCCAGCTCCCTGCCTGGAGCTCCACGCTAGGTGCCCTAGTTGCCAGCCCCTGCCTGTCAGCCTCGGCCCCCAGCCTCACCCCCACCTGTGGGCCCAGCCTCCTTACCCCGTCCACATCCCCCCATCAGAGCCATGGCCACGTTCCCAGCCATGGCTCTCGGGGCAGGGAGAGGACATGGATAGAGGAAAGGGTGCGCATGAGGTAAAACGTTTGGTGACCACTGGAGGAATTTCTTAGATCTCCCATAGCTGGAATTTGCAGAGAAACCACATAGAACTCCATTCATACATTCACCAACACTATTCAGTGGTGTCAGCCTCCAGATCTGATGCTTACTTTGGTTGGGTAGTACTACAGTCCTTATTTAGATAAGCTCTGAGATTCCCTCCTCCTAGAGAAGTGGACTCCTTACTGATCACCAAGAGTGGGATCCATATGTACAAATTCTCAAAGAGAACGCTTGGTTGATAAACAGACCTCAGTCACCATTGAAATGGTCTTAGGCAAAGCCTGGCAAACAGTGTCACAAAAGTGTACAAGTCCATATGTCCAGCAATTACAGATGTTAATGGATGATTCTGAAGTTGATTTTGACTGGCACAGGATTGGTTCTCGTTGCTGAATGTTATACCAGCTTCACGGCTGCAGATTTAGCCAAATCTCTGGAATGAAGATTCCATGGGTTTTTCTTACATGGTACTGGAAATTCTGAGCAGTGCCAAGGACCAGACTTGGAGCTGTGCTCCCTTCTCCCATGGCCAGGGAGGATAAGGAAATTTGAAATTCAATGTCAAAGAACTCAAAGACTGAATGAGCTCTCTTTGTTCTCTGGGAACCTGGAGTGACATCTTTTATAGATGGAGCACTCTCTGAATGAGGTTCTGAAGGAGATCCAGGAACAACTTTTGAGTCAGATGCTCCTCTCACGGATTTCTCCTTCACTTTAAGGGCATCTCCCTGGCTTACTAGACGCATTTTGAAAAAGATTTGCAAACTGCACACATTGCGGAGGATATGGCCTTTTCCTAAGCAAAAAAGTCATTTGATGTGTCCCTCATTCAGATAAATCACAATGTTGCATGATAGGCAGGATTTAAAAACTGGAGATTTTGACTCAGTCATACTGCTGGCAGCCACAATACCATGGCAGCTAGCTAACAAAAAACCTACCTAATTTTGAGATTTTTTTTTTTTTGGCCAATGGGCTGCTAACAACCAAGCAAACCACAAAAACACCACCACAAAGTTGTAGAGAAAAAAAAAAATATAAAAGAATTAGGTACAGTAACAATGTAACAAGATAGGACTACTGTAGGTCAGAGGACAATGAAGCTGTTATGACTCACGACCAGAGGCAGCAAGAAGGAACTGAGTAGCAGCTGGGGTGGCTTTGCCCTTTATTGTCTTGGGAGCAGCAGTGCAAGGGCATGCAAGATGTATGCATGGCCCCAAGGAAAACTGCTGGTTAAAAGATTCTCATATCCTGTATGGTGGGTGCAAATGCACCAACGAGTGAGATCCATGTACACAGATATTCAAAGTTTAGTTAAAAAAATTGGGTTTTGATTTAAATGGCACTGAAGACTCAAGTGTTTTTGTGACACTTTCAGCCAAAAACTCACAATCAGCCAAATGAAAGTTGGAGGTGCTTTGTATTTTTTTTTGTCATCTTATGATGTAGTCTTTACCACGTCTGGACCAGACTCTTGCTCAGGATATTCCAGCAGAAGCTGTTCAGCAGGTGTTCCCACCTATTTTGATGGTATTCAGAATGAATATTTTTGGTGGGTTTTTGTTAAAGATGTGACAGAATGGTGAATTCAAAAATGTGAATCTAATCACTAACTAGAGAACAGCCAATGCGGTGTAACTAGCCAATATAAACCCCCTTGCAGTTTTGGAGGAGGCCCAGAATCGGTCATGAGATGACTTCATATACCCAAATCTAAGTCTGAATGCCCTTTTGTCCCTGAAATTTAAGAGGATTCGGATGCACAGTTTGGTTTTGGCCCCTTCAGTTTTAATATAGGTTCATATTCACAGACCATTTGCTATATCTCCAGATATAATTTGTCTATCTGGCAGCTAGAATCTTTTCACTTGTGAACAGTTTTACCTTGATGATTTTTTATACACAATGTGCTCAGCCATGGAACCTGATTATACTGGACTCTTCCTCCTTCCTGCTGCTGTAGCCCTTTTTGATTCTTAATTGGCAAGCCTCGCCCACAGAGTCACAGCCATGTACTACTATTTGCAGATGTGGGACAGGCAGATATAGGCCCACCTAAAACTAAAGGACCACCCCCTCAGCTAAGAGGAGGAACCACTCAGCTCAGGCTACAAGTGAGTGCATCGGACAACAAAGGGGGGGGCGGGAGAGGGAGGGGGAAAAAAAAAAGCTACAGGAGTGAGGTCAAAGGTTGAAAAATCAGAGAACCAGAAGGGAACACCAAGCATAGAACTCCAGATAGCACCTGCTGCTCCTCAAAAGGCATCTAATGAGTCAATGTACACTCCCCAGAGGAGCTCTGTCCAGACATGTGATTGAATGAGGGACTGGAAATAGACCCCACCCAGTCACAGAGTGCCCCCTATATCCAGCTTCATCCTCCTGAAGTGACAGGTGTGCACAGATCAGGAAATGTGGCGAAAAGTGAAGCTAGAACCTCAGTAAGAGGGGCTGCAAGATGATGCATTCTACATAGATGCGTGCATGGGTCTCCCTCTTATCACAGAAGTGACAGGCATCAGGGGAGTTCGTGACCCACAGTAAGTACATGTTCATACTCATAACTCTCCAAAGGAGCTGCCAACAAATATACCCAGTGTATCATGGAACCAGAGTGGAGTACAGATTGGCTCAGAGTTCCTTGCCCTTCTCAGCTGGCCTCACAACGTGGTGTTGGGGCAGGACACAAGGGCAAGAAAGTAGATGGCATGATGCATAAGTGTACACAGATGTTTTCTGGGCATGGTTTGGAAGTGGACCAGCTGGATGTTGTGCAGCCAGCTCAGGCACTTGTCAGGAGCGGCTGGGGAGACTCACACTGCAAGGGCCTAAAGAGGAGTTCTGGAGAGCCAGGAGTAAGGAGTGGGCAGGTAGCACCCTCCTGCAGAGCCAACCTGAGGAAAGGGAGAGAAGCAGGAGGCAAAAGGCTGCTCTGAACTCCCCCAGTATAGCCCGTGACAACAAATTAAGATTAAGGCTGTGTAACTACCCCAATATTGCCAAAAATAAAGTCATGAGTAAGCCCCCAAAATCATGAGATTAAAAAACAAAACAAAAAAACCTCTATACTGTTTTTTTGTTTTGTTTTTTAATTTTTGAACTTCCCCTGCCCAACCCCAGTGTGCAAGACTTCATGTTACCCACTCTCCCAAGTTTATCGGGTAAGGTGATTTTTTGCCCTTGCTACACGAACTCTCACCCCATCATTTGCCCATCCCCTACTCCGCAATTAGTTCTGCTCCCAGTCTCCTAAGTCAATCCTGTCCCCACCTCCCTCATTAGTTCTGCCCATTCCCACCATCAGCACATTACTCCAGCCTCACCTCTGCTCTCCTCCCGGGATTCTTTACCCTCCTTTCCCAGTGCTGGTGGCTGCAGTACTGTCCCCTCTTCACCTTCCAGGACTGGGGGGGCGGGCAGCTCCAAGGGCTCTTCACCACCCCACCCCCCATCCCAGGCTAAGTGTTGCAAGAAGGGAGAGGGGAGGTGGGGGAAAGCAGAGGTGCTATCCTGTCCCCATTACTCATACAAGAGGAGACGGAAGGAGGGAGCAGAGCTGCCCTGAGTTGCTGGGCTCTTTAGCTCCCATGCCCAATCCCAAGATAATAGCTTTGAGTTACTGAGTGATGGAAGCAGGGGGAGAGTTCTGCCTGCAGCAGCTCAACTGATTGTTTAGACCCAGGAGGTGGGGAACTAGAGTAGATGACCAATCAAAAGACTTGTCTGTTAAGGATTACAGCTTGGGCATCCTCACAAGATTAGGCTCCAGCCGTGCCCATCACTAGCAAAAGAATCATAAGAGTTGGAAACAGTGCAGAGCCCAGACTTCTCCAGAGCCCAGTGGTTGAGTAGGGATGGAGCAGAATCAGCACATTTGGGGCACACTCCAAGTTTCAGACTGTACCCACCCCAGTGATATCCAAGGGAATTTCAAGATGGGGATTGTAGCAATTAGTTTTGGCTATCAGTAACTGAAAGATTTTAAAATGTAGCCTTCTCCTAATCTTAATGAATCCTCTCCCCCACCTATATGCCATTTGAAGGAATGGGAGGGGGGAAAATCACTTCCACAGACAAAAATAGTAGTAATTGTAATTGCTTGTCTTATGATAGCACCCAAAGACTTCATATACAGTTGGCACATGAATATATACATAAAACTGATAATACAAGACTTGATAAAGCTGAATTGTTCACATAGGAACAGAAACCAATCTGGACTGGGACTAGTCACTATTCATAATAGAAATTCAACTTTTATATAACAGATTATACAAATCCAAACACTCCACAAAATAGGAAAGTGAAATAACTGAATTACAAGATGCTACAAAACACATTGCACCTACCTGGACCACTCAACATAGCTTTTATTGTTCCTGATGTTAACGCATGCTCTCTTTTTACAATAAACTCATGACCATCAGAGGATATCAACTTCACATACATAGCATCAGGGCCCTCACACCCACCGTATGTTTTCTCTTCTCCATCTATAACAGAAAACAGATTAAATGATACTTTCAGAATATCTGGTTAGTACTTTCATAGTATGAAGAAAGCCAGTACAGCTTATGCCTTTATTACAAGCATGAAGCCTCAGTGCACTTACTTCTGAAAGACCAAAGAAATAAAGAAATGCAAGGTAGCAAAGGAGAGGGTGGAGGATAAGACGAGGAAGTTGTTTGTTTCTTTTAAAGTTTAAGTTTTGCTATCTGCTGAATTTTTCAGCTTTGTTTCTTAGCGAGCTAATTTAGTTTTAATATACTGTTACTGATCTGTCCCCTCATTCCCTTGTCCCTGACCAATGGGTCAAAACATAATTTCAGACATTATTTCTTTTTCTAGCAAAGTCTATTCAGGGTTAATTTTTTCCTTTATATAATAAAAATAAACCCTGCCACTCAAATCTGAGACTATACTTTCTGCTTGCTCTGAAGTGGCTGTTAAACAATCCTCATGAAGTCGTATTACCAGGGAAAGGTCATGTTTCTAGCGTTAATACATTAGAACACAGTAATTAAGAATTTGCCAAATGAAGAAGAAACATCTCTTCTTACAGGCATTATCTGTTGTCATGCTTCTAAGAGAGCAATTCACAGAATAAAAGTCTTTGCCTGCATTAACGCATTCATTTAAAAAGGAACCGCAACAACTTTAAAAAGTCAATTTGAGGAAAGTTTACTTATTATTGCAAGTAACGTAAGTTTACTGCAACAAAGAGTAAACAAAATGTTCTTTGTTCAAAGTGCTGTCTACAGTAGAAAAAAACTGAAAATAGTTTCCTCTGTTTATGTGACTCACACAACAGCAGGAAAAAAATTATTTAAGTAATAGTAAATGTCACTGTAAAACAACAAAATTAGGCAGAGAGCATAATACCTGAAACTCCTTTCCCTCTCTTACCCCTCCCGCACACCATTAATTAGATTTCAACTTGTGCCTTTGGGTGATCCAAGGGAAGACTACAGAAAGATTCAAAAAAGTTTCAAAACCTGAAGTGATAAAAAAAGCAAAACACCACTTTAATTCAATTTAAAATTAGAAGTTGTATTTATAAAAGTCTATTTTCAGGTAGTGTGTGTTTCCACAAAAATAATATACGTTTACATAAGTTACTATAGTAAATAGCATTAAAGTTTCTTTAAAGAGAAGTTAATGAACTGTATATTCTACATAAGATTCCATTTCAGGGTTGTATTAATGTGCTTATTTATTTTAATTTGTACATAATCAGTAAGATGCTAGACACCCTCAATATCTGCAGTCAGTACAATAAGAAAAGTATGATTATAAGAAAGGTAGGTGATAAATTTACTTCCTTCCAGCAGAATCCAGAGGTGGTAAGAGAAGAGAGATGTACTTTTGAAGATGGGAATTTAATCAGTAATTATTAGTAAATGTCATTTCTTCTGCCACCCAAAAACAAATCAATGATTTCTTTTGTTAAGGAAACATTAGAGATTAAGTGTACCAAATACGTACTGAACTTGTAAAGAGTCTTGTTAATTATGTCTTGCAGTCAGTTAGGAAAACGTGGCTTACTCTCAGGACTATCAGGGTTAATCAAAATAAAATTACTATATAAATTATTAGATGAGGATTTTCCACCAATTACTATTAATGCAAAAGCTCAAGTTGCTAAAAAGAAATACAGCTGGGAAGGTGTCAGTGTCCATAAAAATAATTGAATCCACCTAAGCCCACGTTAAAAGCTGGCTATTTTCTCACTATGCAGTCATTTGAATGGAGAAAGATAGGGCAGCTCCAAGCACGTAAAATTAAGTTAATTACGATGACATAGTAAGCAAAATTAATTGTTACGTAAAGCTTAAAAATGCAACCTCCAAAATTCAGAGCCCTTTCCTACTCAATTCCATCATCATTCTAAAAGCCTCCCAACGTGTTTCATGTTTTAAAAATATGAAAAGATGTTTGTTAAAAAATTAACTTACCCATTCTCTCCTTATTAAATGTTTATTGCTTTGCGACAGCAGCTTTCACTGTAAGATGGTCTGAAAACAAGAAGTATTGACACAAGCGTCAAAATTACTTTTTAGTAGTAATTTCATAAGTCAGAGTTTAAGTGATCTACTATAAAGACTGATGTTCTAGGTATAAAGAAAATTTTCATGATGACATACAAGTCTGATTAGAAGTATTCAGTAGATTCAAGTTTCAGGATGTGTTCTCTATGCATCAGATTCTCACAAGCTTTACGAAGTGAAAGCTGACTATGTGAAAGATTTCACCTTACATGTTGTAAAAATAAAGTTTTAAACCTTTAGCAGTCAAGGTTCTTAGAAAAGCTAGTTATAGTTTCGAGAACTTTAGGGGAGAAATCTGTGTACATAGATTTTGCTACTACAATGGCAAAATTCCTGTAAGAAAAAAACAGAAGAAAAATAAGCACTTTGTGTCACAGTGCAGTTAATACCGGTGAAAGGTTCAAGGCTAAACAAGTGTAAAAACTGAAGCCTTCATCTGCAAAATAATTCCAGTATGGATAACAGCAATTCCAGTTTCTTTGTATGTCACTCCAGTTATGCTCTGGAAAAAGACAACTCTAGGACAGCTTGAAAGATAAATTCCACTCACCCACTTACCAACTCCTTACATTTATTTGGGGGTAACCCTCGAAGCATGAAAATGAACACATATTAATAGAATGTTGTGGGCTTCCTAGAGACTCAGGAAAACAGCACCAGTAGCAGTGAAGTTAACAATATTCTGGTCAGTTTCACACATGCTACTCAGAACTCTGTGGACAGTAATGAAAATGTCAAGAATTCTTAGTGATTCTTTCTACTCCTTAGGAAAGCTGTGAGTAACAGCAGAGGCAGGCACTGGAATTATTCACTACAAAGAAGGACCATAAAAGGGAGGCTAGGGCAAAGATAGAGTACCAGAAGACCTCTTTCTTCCCCCTCCCCCTATCTCCCACACTGATGGAGGGATAGAGAAATGGAGACAAGAAACCTTGTGGGAAAGCGGGAGAAGCAAAGAGAGAGAAAGCCCCTTTTCCTTTCCACTAGTTTGGGAGTGGGATCATAGAAGCTTGACATTAATAATATACCTATTAGCCAGAGGCTGATAAAGAGAACTCTGAGCAGGGTAGAGACAAAATCCAGTAGAGAAAACAGTCCTTTCCAGTGACTAGTGGCAGAGACACTTCTCACCAGGGACCAGCTCCTGAACATTACTGGGGAACCTCCCACCTTTCATATCTACTTGCTGAGAAATATAACAAGGCCTGAAATTTGTCAGTCTCTGCATGAGAGGGTAGTTCAGTCTGCATACCTATTCATGCCATCTGTGTTTAGTAAGACTAAACAGTGGTGCCAGGCGGTGTCATGAAAAGAATGGAAGCCACTGTTCAACTCCGTTTACAAAGGCCACCAAACAACGTATTATACCCATTTTACCGAGGAAAAAAATTAAAGGAAAATTTTTTTTCTTATGGACCAAAGCCAAATTTGAACCAGTAATCTTATAGGTGAGACACTCCTGACCATCACATACACTGGACCCTTGCTAGAACGCGGGATTTGGGATCCATGCCAAGTACTGCATTATAGCAGGGACACCATTAAAATGAAATTATATTTTTGTGACTGAAATTTCAATACAGGTATATGTAGTTGTGTATTTCCAGGTTATAGCGGGCTAACGATAGCATCAAAACTCAGAACTGTCGCGAAAAACAAGTCTACAAGATACAGTACTCACCACGGGTGTCAGTGGAAATTGTGTTTTAAAATGGAAGCGTTTTTAATGGATTTGGTTAAATGCTTTGTGTGCTTTGTTTTGACTGTCCGCTTTCAGGTGCCATGAACTTCCGTCTTCGCGTATGGAATGCCATAGAGAAATTTATGTACACTATATATATAAATATGCGTATAGAAATTTTTGTAGTGCTAATTACCTTCACCATCCATAAAGTATAGAAAACCTTAGAAAATAAACTCCTACTTGAAGGAAACAAACGAGAAAGAAAGTGTTGCTTTATTAGAGATTTAAAGTAGACATTACAATAAACTAATCTAGTTTTTTTTTAAAAAATGTCAGTGAGTTGCTTTTGCTTCTTGCTGCTGTGCTGCTTCCGCTTAGCGAACTGGGTAGCTGCATAATTTTTATAGGTTCAACGTCTTGTGTCTCAAACCATCTCAAAGCAGTCTCTAAACCAACTACGGTCACAGCTGACGTTGGAACGATGTCCACTTCATCTTCCCCTTCTTCCACAGCGAAGGCCAATTCTTCAGCTTCTGGAATGTTGTTTGGTCGTACTACCTGAAGAATTTGGTCATCCGTTAGACTTTCAGAAACGGGACAAAATTCTTCTGCTTCATCGTTGCCTCTTATCCAGGACTCAATATTTTGTGGCTGAACAGTTACCCCGAGCCCAGACAGTTGCTGGGACAGCTCCTGAATCCACTTCATATCTGTTCTTCCAACTTTCTCCTCTGTAAATCCCTCGAAATCGAATTCCTCATCAGACTGATACAGTATGTGTCTTTCCTCCAGCAATCTTGCATGAATTATAAGGTAATGAACACAAGGTCACTTAAAACTCAAAAAAAATTGTACTGTACTTAAATTTGGGATCCATGGCTGCAACCATGGTATATCAAAATTTGCGTTATATAGACGCGCGCGTTCTAGCAAGGGTCCGGTGTACTTCTGAGTCTAAAATTTTCTGAGGGTTAAATTGTGCACATGCTCATACAAATTCCCTATTTTCCCTGTGCTCACCCTGTTCTTGATATTTCCATGGGAACTCCCGCAGGGAAGTCATAAATGTTGCTATTCCTGCACATAGCACTTCCTCAGGAGCAGCGTAATACTGAAACAAACCTAATTTCACTTTATAGGCTAGAAGCATATGTAATGGTAGAAAGGTTAATGGTAGAAAAGTTAAAGGTAGAAAAGTAAGGCAGGTGTCAATTTATAAAAAAAAAAAAAAAAAAAAAAATCGACAGAATCATAATTTCAGTGTTGTCACTCTATGGTGTTGTTGGAGGAGTCACTGTCCCCCTACCCCCAATCCTGGCTCCCAACTTCAGGACCTCTGGTTGGTGGAAATTTTGATAATGTTGTCAGAAGTGGGTTGAGTTGGGTATCACTCAAATGCCCTTTCTCCTACAAACACAATGGTACCAAACATGACAAACCTAGAACAATTGCATAGATAGATATTTGAAAAAATGTTTTAATTATACTTAACACAGGCATGTCACACATGCAGCTCTCACGAAGTTAAATTGTGGCTCTTGACTGACAGTATTGTATTACCAGTTAATGCTTAGAATGATACTTGGATTAATTTTTTTTAATGTTTCAGATTACTATATAAAACGGAATGAGTGCTTCAAGCTGATTTGCCATTATTGGTAAAAAAAGCAGTTCAGTAGTATTGACCATCAGCTTTGTTCATTATGCAAAGAATAATAATGAGGCACTGGTTAAGATGTTAGCATCTAGCCAGGAGTTAGTTGAATCCATCCACAAATGGTTTGCATATAGTTACATAACATACATGTGTTTGAAATCATTTACTAATGTGTACAGGACTTGCGAGACCAGTTCCACACATGCAGTCTCTCAATGACCTACTGCATATGATGGAGAGCTGCAATATCGCAGAACGGATCAAGCAATTTGGATCAGGTTGAATCGACAGCAAAGCCAACTTTTGGGATGATATGGTGATACATGAAGAGGGCTGAGTCTTTGCTGCTCTTTATTTGATCTGTGGGAGTGCTAACTGGAATTTGCACCTTGCAGCACTGGAAGACTACGTGACATACTTTTTTTTTTTAGATTTAATCAAACTATTCCGCAATGCTTGTCTGGTACCTTGCTAAAATAAGAAGTTTAGAAGAGTCTGATGCTGACATATGGGAAGAATTCTGAAAAGGAAATTGGGCTGTTAAAAGGTTATCAGTTCCCTTCTGTGCACTTGGTTCAGACGAAGTCCTAGAAAATGAAAACAGAGCAATGAAAATTGTTCGGGGTAGGTGGCCATAACAGCAGCCAAATGCTCTTTCCTGACAACCCCAGAACTCCATCGAATTTCAAACCAAACATTAATCATGGAGGGATGACTTCCCCAGAAGTAACCGAGCAACATCTAGACTCATTAGGTAGTGTTAAATGCCAAGAAAGGGCAATTTTAAAGCTACAGGATGAGCTTATTCAAATTGTATTAGCATATGACAGAGCAGAGCTCATTAATATCATGACAAAAGCACTATTCAGTGATAAGATAGCTAAATATGTCAGTCGAATGGATACTTTGGGTTTCGAAGGCTTCACACGAGTCAAGACCCAAAGAATTATCCAAGGTTCTGTCAATCTATGGGTCCCAATCAAGAACAGACTAAAGTTGTGTTTGTATGCAAAGAAAATCAAAGTGAAGGTGCATGGACTGTTACAAAAAGTTAACCATAGGTCATGGTTTGCTTCTCTCCTGGTCACATCCAGATCTCATCATGATGTTGATTTACAAGACTGGGAAAGTATGAGTTCTCCAGGGTACCACAACTGATGTTTGAATGTGACAGAACAATGCATACGTGCCAGGCAAAAAGAAAATTAATGCTCTTCTTGCATGGTCTTTCTTAGCCAGCACCCATAGACTACATGACCAGTACGTTATGCTAGCAAAGGCCTTTCAGTGTAGCAATCATACATGATATGGCTGAGGAATAAGCTCTCGACAAACGAGGTACAGTTAATATCTGCCCATGATTTGACGAATATTTCATTATGAGGTTACAAAGAAAATACTGGACCTCTGACAAAATCCACTTCATGTCTGACACCTGTGTAGAAGAATCAATTAAAAATATTACTAGAAAGAAGACACTTTGTGGTCTTGTATTTGCCCAAAACAAAAATCATTGACTCAACAAATATCTTCAATGTCACAGTGAAGAAGCTAGTCTCATATTTGCATGAAGGAAGAGTCAACTACATACTTTGCAGAAAAAATGCTCCACTGTGCCTTTGCATT